TTGTTGTGAGCTTCGAAACTCCATTTTCTCTTGCTCAGATCAACATACTTTCTTCATCGAAGTTGTTCCTTAACTTGTGAACTACAACATATCCAAAATTGAGATCCCTCGGAGCTGTATAACTCAAGAAATGCAGGTATGATGAATGACTGGTTATGATTTTTCTGTCAACCCGTCAGATTTGTTGTGAGCTTTGAAACTCTATTTTTCTCTTGCTCAGATCAGCATGCTTTCTTCATTGAAGTTGTTCCTCAGCTTGTGAACGACAACATATCCAAATTTGAGATCCCTCGGAGCTGTATAACGCAAGAAATTCAGGTATGATGAATGACTGGTTATTATTTTTCTGTCAACCCGTCAGATTTGTTGTGAGCTTCGAAACTCCATTTTCTATTGTTCAGATCAGCATGCTTTCTTCATTGAAGTTGTTCCTCATCGTCTCTTTCATAACATATCAAAAATTCAGAATGAACTAATGGTTAAATATTTCCAGATCTTCGAAACATCACAGCAGCTTCGAAATCTGCAAGAATCCGACTGTCATGTTTGGAGCTTCAACACTTTAATTTCCGTCGCTCAAACAGAAATGGTTCCTTCTTGAAAGTTGTTCATATGCTCAAAAACTATAGGGTGTCCAAAATTCAGCTCCATTGGAGAAGAGCAGAGGTTGCAGAAATTTGATAGATGAAAGGAGGCGGAAGAGGGAGAGAGAGAAAAAGTCTCTTGGGTTGGATTTCTATTTTGGGGCAGATTCCAAGTTTTGTAGCACCTTCATTATTGATGAATTGCTTGTACTTTTGTCCATTATGAAACTTGGGACTTTGGCTTGTTGTTGGATCTATTATAATATGTTTGGAAACATATACATAATTGCTTGTTTGGTTATGACAGGGATGTTGTGGGTGTAGAACAAAACAAATGTTTGTGTTGACCTGTGTTTTTGTACAAGTTCAAGGGCATCTTGGGTTTTGTGAACAAAATTTGTTTATTTGGAGCAAGGTTTTGTGTTGAAGCTTTGTAGGTGAAGCTTTGGTGTTGAAGCTTTCTAGGTGAAGCTTTGTAGGTGAAGCTTTTTTAAGTGAAGCTTTTCGGGTGAAGTTTTTTGGGTGAAGCTTTGTGGGTGAAGCTTTTTAGGTGAAGCTTTGTGGGTGAAGCTTTTTTTAGGTGAAGCTGTTTGGGTGAAGCTTTTTGGAGGTGAAGTTTTTTTTGGGTGAAGCTGTTTGGGTGAAGCTTTTTGGGTGAAGCTTTGATGGTGAAGCTTTGTAGATGAAGCTTTGTAGATGAAGCTTTGATGGTGAAGCTTTGTAGGTGAAAGTATGTAGAGGGAGCTTTCTAGGTGAAGCTTTTTTAGGTGAAGCTGTGTAGGTGAAGCTTTTTTAAGTGAAGCTTTTCGGGTGAAGTTTTTTGGAGGTGAAGTTTTTTTTGGGTGAAGCTTTTTTAGGTGAAGCTTTTTGGGTGAAGCTTTGATGGTGAAGCTTTGTAGATGAAGCTTTGTAGATGAAGCTTTCGAGGTGAAGCTTTGATGGTGAAGCTTTGTAGGTGAAAGTATGTAGAGGGAGCTTTCTAGGTGAAGCTTTTTTAGGTGAAGCTGTGTAGGTGAAGCTTTTTTAAGTGAAGCTTTTTGGGTGAAGTTTTTTGGGTGAAGCTTTGTGGGTGAAGCTTTTTAGGTGAAGCTTTGTGGGTGAAACTTTTTTAGGTGAAGCTGTTTGGGTGAAGCTTTTTGGAGGTGAAGTTTTTTTTTTTTTTTTTTTTTTTGGATGAAGCTTTTTTAGGTGAAGCTTTTTGGGTGAAACTTTTTGGATGAAGCTTTTTGGGTGAAGTTTTGGAGGTGAAGCTTTTTGGGTGAAGCTTTGTGGGTGAAGCTTTTTAGGTGAAGCTTTGTGGGTGAAGCTTTTTTAGGTGAAGCTGTTTGGGTGAAGCTTTTTGGAGGTGAAGTTTTTTTTTTTTGGGTGAAGTTTTTTTAGGTGAAGCTTTTTGGGTGAAACTTTTTGGATGAAGCTTTTTGGGTGAAGTTTTGGAGGTGAAGCTTTTCGGGTGAAGCTTTTTGGATGAAGCTGTTTTTTTTTTTTGGCGCTTGACACGGTCTTCATTTGCTTGTTTTGTAGTGACTGTGGAAGACGGATTGCTTTCTGATTGAGAAGGGTTCCGGCATCGCTTTGCACCATCTTCATGTGGGTAATATAGGAACTTCCTTATGTTTTGATCATGCATGTAGTGATAGAATTTGTTTCTTCTTATTGTAGATGTCAGAGCCTGGAAGTTCTAGTGATGAGGGCTCTTCTAGCTTTAGCTCTAAGTCTGAGTCTGCAATGTCGGAGTCTTCAGGGTCTTTGTTAGAGTCCTGTACTAAAGAAACATTGGATGATCTTCCCAACCGTCAAACTTTAGCTATTGCTAGTTCTTCCTCCATGGCGTTGGGTGAGGGCGTTTCTCCTGATATGTCTTTGCCTCGGCGGAGGCATGGTTATAAGCCTGCGCCATCACCTCAGAGTAAGTCTTCCAAGTATTGGCATTGATCATGTATTTAAAGAAACAATCACGTAGGCCTGCCGTGAAGGCTTTGAGGGCAGTCTTGTCGTCTGCCTCGGCACACCGGGAGTATTCATGGCTGAAGCGGCCAGCATACATACGTAATGACTCGTCTGGCCTCTGGCGGATAGTGTACAGGTCATCTGCAGAGAGTGCAAGCGATCGGTTTGGAAAATGTGTTGGGAAACAAATAGTTTCCTCAATTCCTCAAATGAGTCTACCGTCTCAGGTGTAAGACGACAATACCAATTTAGAGCTCCGCCAGAGAGGGTGGAGGGGAAGAGAAGACATCGCTCTTCGTCGGTGTGCATCCGGTATGCCATGGTGGACTCAAAGAGGTTAAGGTGCTCAATCGGGTCCTCTTTTCCAGTATAAAGTTGCAAGCCAAGCTTCTGCTTTGTCTTTGCTTGAAGAGGGGTGTTGAGGATCCTCCTTGTAAGAGGGCCAGGCCTGGGTTGGTTCCAGTCAGGTATTTCAGCCTGACGTTCAGCCTTCAACTTGTTTACTTCCTCAAGAAGTTGTAGGACAAGGGGATCCTGAGCGGAGTTATGTGCCACTGGAGCTTTCTTTCGTAAATCTCCATCTCCTCTTGGAATTAGGAAGGTTTGATCAAGGGCATGTGATTTTTCCCTGGACTCGCTGTACTGGCTTCCAGGGTATGTCTGTCGGAACACCTCTGAGTCCCCTGTACCCTCATGTCTCTCTAGGACTTGTTGCACCTTCCCCAAGTTGGTGGCCGGCTCGGGCCGTGGCAGGGGACCGAGTCTCTCAGAAATCCTTGGGTCATTGATCTTTGAGCTTATATGGATGGAATTCTCTCGACGTTGCTTCAGGAAATCCCGACAATCGCGAAAGACGGCTTTCGATCCTTCTGCCCCTTCAGCAAAGAGGTGTCTCCCTCCGCTTCTCATGGTTCGGGTCGAAGCAACTGGGTTAAGAGAAGCCTCATGTTGATTATCAAATCGAGGGGTAATTTGTTCCCTATCAGGGATATCTATGTCGAATGCATGTGACCCTCCATGTTGGAGGGCACCCAGTTGATGGTTGACTTCCACGGGGGCAACAAGCTCGCGTGTCTGAGCTTGCCTAGCTTCGTGAAGTGTCTCGAAGAGCTTCTCATATTGCTCCTGGAGGACCTCATTCCTCATTGCTATCTTGTTGTTCTGAGCTTCCAACTCATCGACTTTAGCTTGAAGAAGAACTCGTTTTCCTTCCTTCTTTCGTTGTTTCGCACTATGTGCAAGGGGGTGTCATTCTGTGTGCTGTGGCTTCCTTCGCTTCCCATGCTGGAGAGGGATGCCTGATCAAAAGAAAGTGTACGAATGATAGAAACCAGCTTGACACAACTGAAGAGAGTAGGAATAAGTGTCGTTTCCCACAGACGGCGCCAAATGTTGATGCACAAAATCAGTGAAGACTTTGGTACAACAGAAAGTGTCAGGTTTTGTGACCTTCGCTTGGTTGCTTCGGTCACTAGTGAGGATAAGTACGTAAATGAATAGAGACAGAGAAGCAAACACAGGATGTACGTGGTTCACCCAGATTGGCTACGTCCACGGAGTAGAGGAGTTCTTATTAGTAGTGAAGGGCTTACACAAGTACAAAGGATCAAGCTCTCAATTTAGTGAGTTCTTGTGAATGATTTAACACAAATGGCATTAGGCAATATTGTGGGGGAATGACCCCTATTTATAGAAAAACTTGTAGCTTTGTCACATTGACATGTGTCATGTTATGATTGGTTCTTGATGTCGACACGTGCTGCGCTCTGATTGGCTTCTAATCTTGACACGTGTCGAGTAGTGATTGGCCTCCTGGTCGGAGGGGAACTCTTCTGGGTCCTTGACAGTATAGCGTTGGCCGGTGCTCGGTAGTTTCGGGATTGGTCAAGTATGGTACAAACAAATGAGACTTACTTTATCGAAATAGCGCAAACATGATCTTTTTCGGATCTTCTTGGTGAGGATCTTAGGGATTTGTAAATTGTGTCTATTCATCGTACATTGTGCGATCAATTTTTGTCAATTACTATTTGTGTTTAATTTTAAATAAAAATATTTAAAATGATGGATCCCTGGAATCCTCACAAAAAGGATCTGGAGAAGATCCGAATTCGAAACAGCGAAGGGGTGTGCTATACACACACCTCATTTTACTTCTCACACACTCCTTGATAATTTCTATCCATTGATATTCTTAAATTCATTTGATCCAATGATCAAAAATTAAAAAGATATGTGATAAGTAAAATGATAATGATATGTGTGGATATCACATTCCAATAGCGAAATGTCTGTCAAGTAGACGTCAGGTGGCATAAAAGAACATATATTTATGATGCTATCCTTACTGATTGGCCTTTATTAAAAAAAAAAAAAGAAAGCTTATTGGCTTATTGGCTTTTTGGAGAAGTGGCAATTTGAAAACATAAGGCCAAACACAGCCTTACTTTGACCAAACATACACATGGCGGTAAACTGTGTCGTCGTACAAATCACGCTCATCCTCGTCGAGAAATGAAGCAATAAATAAGCTCTGCTCTCTCTGCTTTCAAATCCCCAAATTCTTCAATCTTAGGGTTTCCTCTTCGTCTTCTTCTTCTTCTTGCATCTCAACGTTTACCTCACACGAACTAGGTAATCACTCTTCCCTTACGCATATAAATATATATACATACTGTATGTATTTGGTTTTGAGTTTTGAAGAAATCGCTCTGTCATTGAATTTTCACGAATTTGATCGATTTGTATGTGTATGTAGAATATGATTTATTTTCTGTTCGTTCGTGTTGCTGAGAATACAGCAGACTGAGAATAAATTAAACTACTGATTTTTATTTTTTTATTTGTTTGGAATTTAAAGTACTGAGAATGCTTCAGACGGAGAATACATCGGTCTGAGAATACATCAGACTGAGAATATATCTTTCATGGACTTAGGTTGTTAGTCTCGAATCGAATCGGAGACGCGGGCGTTTAAGAACGTTTAAGTTTTGGATACATTGTCAAGCGTTTGTAGTTGTAAACATGTTTGGGAACTTTGCATTTGGATGTGTTTCATTTACTTGAGTTGCCGGTGTAGTTATAGCTCTTTTGGCTAAACACGGAGTTCCACTGGTTCCGTGTTTTCGGAAACTGAGTGATGGTTAACATTTTGTTGGGATGATTGGATGTGGTTCTAGTTTCATGTAGTTGGTTTTTGTGGTCATGTTAGCAATCGGAATACTTCTTCTGGCAGGCAGGTTGCTGCGCTCGCTAGCTTGTTCTTGTTTCGGTTCTTTTCTTATAAGGATATTTCGTTGAAGGTTTTGCTTGGTGGTCTCCAACATGAGTGTGAATAGAAGTCAAAGCCCAGAACGAGCCAAGAGATACCGCAGCAGAGAACGCGCATCTTACCATGATGCTCCATATCCTAGTGAACGCCGCAGTTATAGGTATCTCATTGAACGTTCTAACCTTTGTTTCCAGTGTTTTCGGTTTCATTTTGTCTTTTCTCGCTCTGTGGTACTCATAGAGCAACTTGAGATGATTATGTAGCCATCCCTTGTGTTGGTATGAGCTTTGGTGAAGTTTTGTGTATTTTCTATCATTTATTATTCTATATCTTTTGGATCTAGATCGTTGTTTTAGTATGTAGATTATTACACGTCAAGAATTAAATTATAAAAGTATCCACATAGTTTTTGAGACAGATGACTTGCTAGACAAGAAATTGAAATGGAGATATAGTGCTGCCATCACAATATGTTAAAAGTTAGCAAATTTATGAGACAGGATGCGAATTGAATTTGAAAAGTTAATAAGTTGGAACAATAAAACCAAATACTTCATATTACTTAAGAGTTAGGTACTTCCAAGCTTCGTCTCATTTTACGCTTGGTGTTGTTCATAATTATTGGTAACCTACTACAAAAATGCTGATTCTAACCTGAATTTTCATCGACTCTCCTCAGGAACTATCAAATCTGGTGCTAATGTTTTGTCCTTTCCCCGTGTATTGTATTACTGGTTTAAAGTGGAAAAATCCTGTAAAACTTCGCTCTGTTCGTGTGCCTGTAACATTTAATACTCAAAGAAATTTTGTTTTAACTGTTCAAGTTGACTTTAATTTCCATTGGCTGAAGTCCTCCTTTCTGATAATAATTCGATAGGTAGCTATGTATAACGCACGCAAACTGATCTCTTGGTATTTGGACTCCATATGTTTATCAAAACTGAGATAATCTTTTGCTGCTACATCTTCCTACATCTTCAATTTCATGTCGTAATGATTATTCTGTTATTTTTCAGGCAAGATTGTCTTTGCAATAAATGTAAACGGCCAGGGCATTTTGCAAGGGATTGCCCGAATATGACTGTCTGCAACAACTGTGGACTTCCAGGGTGAGTTCTGCCGAACCCTTCATTTTCCATATATGGTTTTAAGAGTTGTAGAAAATAGGTTGCACGGAGGACTGCAAATCCTGATTTTCGTCTGTGAAATGTTTTTCATATTCAAATGCTGTATGTTTTATCAGCCACATTGCAGCTGAATGCAACTCAACAACTATGTGTTGGAACTGCAAGGAGCCTGGACATCTTGCAAACCAATGTTCCAATAATCCAGTCTGCCATATATGTAGTAAGAAAGGCCACCTGGCTCGTGATTGCTCGAACCCTAGTCCTTCATCCCATGATGCAAGGCTCTGCAACAACTGCTACAAACCGGGTCATATTGCTGTCTATTGCACAAACGAGAAGGCTTGCAACAACTGTCGGAAACCTGGACACCTTGCTCGTGACTGCCCCAACGAACCTGTTTGCCACACCTGCAACATATCAGGTCATATGGCTCGCCATTGCGACAAGTCAAGCCTAGCCCCAGACATCAGAGGCCCCTTCCGCGACATCACGTGCCGTAACTGTGGGCTGCCAGGCCATATCGGCCGAGAGTGCATATCGATTGTCATCTGCCACAATTGTGGTGGAATGGGTCACCAAGCTTATGAGTGCCCTTCTGCGTTGATGATCTACGGTCGCGGCCTACGAAGGTATTGAGTATTGACCACCTAATGAGTAGGGAGTCGGAGGTTTCATATGTAGGATTTGCTTCTCAAGTTACACTACAGTAATTATGGCTTTACTTATCCCAAGTCTTATGAGTAGTAAATGTACTGGGCTTTTAGTCAGACGTTCATTCGTTATGGCAATATCTCAAACCTAATCCTTTGTGTGAATGTTATGAAACTTTGTAAGAACTTTTGAGTCCTCAGCCTACTCTCCTATTGTCAATTAGGGCTTAAGATGGTACGATAGCATTCCTATTTTTTGAAAAAATTATGAATTATTCAAAACCTGTTTGATACTCTACTTGAATTCAAATTTTTAAACTTAAAAATAATTTTTAAATTTTAGGCCTTAAAAACTTGTTTGGTATGATTATTTAAAAAAAATTGAACTCAAGACTAATTAAAAAATATAATTTATTTTCTAAAAAAACCAAAAGTGAGTTTTTAGAGTTTTTAAATTTAAATTTACTCATTTTGTTTTCTCTCTCCTCCCTTCTCACTCCAAATTTATCTCTATTTTATTCATTCTCTCTCGCCCTTCTCTTTCTTTCTTTTTTACTTTTTTCGTCTTTCTTCTAATCTGTTTTTTTTATTCTCTCGATTTTTTTTTCACTCTTCTTCCCTTCTATCTCTTCTGATCCTATAATTTTTTTCTCTTTTTTTTAATCATCTTTTACTTTTTTTTTTCCTCTCTATCATCTTTCTCTCTCATACCCTTATTTTTTGATTTTTTGTTCAGTTTAAATTGTAAGATTTAAAATTTTTAAATATTTTTTAATCTTCAAAAAAAAAAAAAAACGTTCGGGTACTGTTTTCAAATGAAACCTCAACTTCGTCGAAAATACGATTACTTTGAATGCCGGCTTCAAATACTTTGTGGTTTGAAGTCAACTCTCAAATGGTGGCTTCAATCCACCAATCAATCAATAGCCCGCAGCTTTATATTTTTTCGATCTTGGTCAAATTTGAAACTTCAAAGTATAAGCATTTTCTTGAGAGAGAGAGACAGAAAGAAGGGAGATTTTCTAGAGAGAGAGAGAGATGTGTACGTTAGAGAGGAAAGGCAACATCTTCATCCTAACGCTAACAGGCCCAGGCGAGCACAGGGTCAACCCCACTCTCATCGACTCCATCCGATCCGCCCTCAACCAAGTCCGAGCCGCCGTCACCACCACGGCCTCGTCATCATCTCCCTCAGCCCTAATCACCACCGCACATGGCAAATTCTTCTCCAACGGCTACGATCTCTCTTGGGCCCAGTCCTCTGAATCCCGCATAGAGCTCATGGACGCCAAGCTCCGGTCCCTTGTCGCCGATCTCATCTCCCTCCCGATGCCCACCATCGCCGCCGTATCCGGCCACGCCTCCGCCGCCGGCTTCATCCTCGCTCTCAGCCACGACTACCTTCTCATGAGGAGGGACCGCGGCTTCATCTACATGAGCGAGCTCGACATCGAGCTCCTTCTGCCACGCTGGTTCTTGGCGCTGATCGAGAGCAAGGTCGGCTCGCCGGCGGCTCGGCGCGACTTGTTGCTCAGAGCCGATAAGGTGAAAGCCGACGTGGCAGTGGCGAAGGGGATTATCTACTCGGCGCACGATAGCGCGGAGGAGACCGTCGAGGCCGCGGCTAATTTGGGGGAGGAGTTGGTTCGGCGGAAGTGGAACGGACACGTGTACGCTCATATTCGGAAGGACTTGTTGTCTGATGTTCTGGATGAGATCCGCAGAAATACTACTGGCAGAAAATCACGACTGTAGGTGATAATTTGGTTCGGGTCGGGTCTGTTTTTGTTTTGATTGGCCGAAAATTGATGTGAGTTTTGTTGGGTTGGATTTTTCACTTGTCTGTCATTTTATGTTACCAATAAAAGATGGGATTAGCATATTCTCAAGATCTTGATCGAATAAAATCAGTTATTAGAACCATTCAATTTATTAATCTTCGTATAAGGGTTAAAATTACAAAAAATCATTCAAATCACGAGGATATTACTTTAAACCTATACAAAAAAGCTATTCTATACATTTAAATGAGTTTTTGCAGTGGTAATCTTCTAACGAAGATTAAAAAAATTAAACAATTTCGATTATAAAATTTATACGGTCTAAATACGTTATTCGTAAGAAAGAACTAGCTCATCCTCCAATGAAGGAATGCAAACATTATTCCTAATAAAAATTCAATTCTTCCCGTATTATTCTGTACCTAAATAACCTCAAATAAGTAGTTTATCACATACCTTACAATAATTATATATCATTCTCATTCATGTACATATCAAGTAACATGTATGTTTAAATCTGAGTTGTGAGTAAGAAGCTCTTCATGGCACCACCCCAACCTTTTTCAATACCACCTTATCTAAGTTATAATTTTCGTTCTATGGTTCAAAACCAATCAAAATCTAAAAGATAAAAAGCAAAAATTGATTCTGAAAAATCTTCATTGTTTACAACAATCAAACTATTTGATGAAATGGCTGTCGATAACAAATTCATTAAGTTAATCAAACATTATTAAAAACAAATCCATAAAGTTAATCCAACATTATTATATGTTTTAACCATTTTTTAAAATGCCGCCTTAATTGCATGAAAGTATTTCTCGATTGAATGTGACATGTTCGTTGAAGACAGAAGAAAAAACAAAAGAGGACAACATTTTATAATATTATGAAGTCACAAATGATGCATCAATTTGACCAATCCATGGGAAGAAGGCAAAGTCCTTGAATATTCGATCCTCCATAACCAAAGCTTAAACTTCAAATTCTAGAGAGAGAGAGAGAGAGAGAGATGTGCACATTAGAGAGGAAAGGCAACGTCTTCATCCTAACGCTAACAGGCCCAGGCGAGCACAGACTCAATCCCACTCTCATCGACTCAATCCGGTCCGCCCTCAACCAAATCCGAACCGCCGTTACCACCACCGCCACGTCATCATCACCCTCAGCCCTAATCACCACCGCGCATGGCAAATTCTTCTCCAACGGCTACGATCTCTCCTGGGCCAAGTCCTCCGAGTCCCGGTTGGAGCTCATACGCTCCAAGGTCCGGTCCCTCGTCGCCGACCTCATCTCCCTCCCCATGCCCACCGTCGCCGCTGTTTCCGGCCACGCTTCCGCCGCCGGATTCATTCTCGCTCGCAGCCACGACTACCTCCTCATGAGGCGAGACCGCGGCTTCATCTACATGAGTGAGCTCGACATCGAGCTCCTTCTCCCGGCTTGGTTAGTGGCGCTGTTCGATCGCAAAATCAGCTCACCGGCGGCTCGGCGCGATTTGTTGCTGAGAGCCGATAAGATGACGGCGGACGTGGCAGTGGCGAAGGGGATAATCGACTCGGCGCACGATAGCGCGGAGGAGACGGTCGAGGCCGCGGTTAGACTTGGAGAGGGGTTGGTATCGCGGAAATGGAACGGACACGTGTACGCTCAGATTCGCAAGGACTTGTTGTCTGAAGTACTGGATGATATCCGCGTGAATAATACCGGCAGTAGAGCGCGGCTGTAGGTTTATGGGTCGGATAGGAATGTGGGCTTCTCGGCCCAATAGTTTCTTTAGGTTGGACTCACTATATCTGGGCTGGTATCTTGGCCCAATATGCGCTGTTTGCCACTTCTTTTGTCATACTATGTTGACCACCCCCCAGAAAAGAAAAAGTTTCTTGTGATTGGGGAGTAATTTCTTTTAGGCTCGAAACATATTTTTAATGTTATAAATAAAAATTATACAAAAAAAAAATTTGTAAGTCAAATTATTTCCATTTAGTTTAACCCGAAGGGGAAAAATCAAACCATAAATTAACTAGTTAAGTAGTAGGCTTTTCTAGAAAGTTTGAAATTTGTTCATGATCAAGTTTCGTTGGTGGTTGAGACGTGATATACTGTGGTTCTGCGTTTTGAAAATGTATTTTGTAGGTATCACTTCAACTCATAAGTAGGGTGGTACCGTGGTTAGGGTATGGTATTCCATTAGGATGCGTTTGGTACGTGGGATGGGATGGAACAGAGTGGGACGGACGCGTTCCGTCCCATGTTTGGTGCGTTAAAATTATATGGAACGCCTGTTCCACAAAACGAAAATGTGTTAGATTTTGGTTCCATCTCCCCTCTGCAACGGGTTTTTCCATCCTGTGGAACACAAATTCATAACATTTTAAGACAAAAATACCCCTTCTTTTTTTTCAATATTTACATCATCCAAAAAACAAACCCTAAAATTCTATCTTCTTCGTTCCATCTTCTCTGCCTGCCGTTGCCTTTTCCCGTAGCCCTCCTCCTCATCCTCTCCCGCAGTAGCTGCATCTCCAGGTTCGATCTTGATCTTCTCTCGTAGCCGCTACATCTCTAGGTTCAATCTCTGTTAGGTTTCCAGCCGCACAGAGAAGAAAAGGTTCAGAATAAAGGGAAATGCAGGAAAAGTTTAAAAGGTTAATTCATTTCCTTCCCCCTCAAGGATTACAAAAGGGAAATATATATCCACTATCCACTACAGACAAAAGGTTTGGTGCTGAGTCACCATAAGAAGTAATGCCATTACAATTCAGAGGGAACAACTTGGAGACAGTGAATAATGGTAAGGGCCCATCACGGTACCCCCTTACAAAGAGCCTGTCCTCAGGCGACAAATTCAGGGAACCGATCCAAGATAGAATCAGCATCCTCCCATGTGGCATCATGCTCTGGAAGACCGTCCCATTTGATTAACCAACGAGTGACCGCGCGATTTTCATGCTTGAACATACCACGTTGAAGGATTTTTTCAAGGGACCAAAGGAAGACACCATCAGAAGAGAGTGGAGGCAAGGTAGGAGAAGCTACCTGATGGTCACCAATTTTGGGTTTGAGCAAGGACACATGAAAGGTAGGATGAATGCGTGACGGTGATGGAAGATCCAGTGTATAAGCAACATTGCCAACCCGAGCGCGGACCTGGAAGGGGCCATAGTAGCGAGGAGCCAACTTCGGACAGTGGATTTTGGACACTGAAGTCTGCCGATAGGGTTGGAGTTTGAGAAAAACCCAGTCGCCAATTGTAAATGTCCTCTCAGAGCGGTGTTTGTCGGCGTGTTGGCGCATTCGGTGTTGTGCCAGCTGCAAGTTCTCACGTAAATACTTGAGCAAGGCATCACGATCACGAAGAGTGATGTCAACGAGATGAACCAGAGAAGCCCCAGGAAGATAGGTCGAGACTGTGGGAGGTGGGTACCCATAAAGTGCCTGAAAAGGGGTCAGTTGGATGGCTGATTGGAATGTGGTATTGTACCACCATTCGGCCCAAGGCAACCATTGAATCCAGTCTCGTGGTTTGTTCATTACAAAACAACGCAAGTAATGCTCAAGTGTGCGGTTCAATACTTCCGTTTGTCCGTCCGTCTGTGGGTGATAAGTGGAACTCTTGCAGAGAGTGGTGTTTTGGTGCTTAAAGAAGGCAGTATAAAACTCACTGATAAAAATGGGATCACGATCACTGACGATGGAGGCCGGCATGCCATGAAGACGAAAAACCTCCTGAATAAAGATCTCGGCAATCTTGGGGGCAGAATATGGGTGTTTAATAGCAATAAAATGCCCATATTTGGAAAGGCGATCCACTATGACCAAAATGGCATTGCGGCCATGAACTGATGGAAGGCCCTCAATAAAATCCATCGCAATGTCTGACTAAACTTGGGTGGGAATGGGAAGGGGCTGCAATGGTCTCGGGGGTTTCATGGACTCATAGTTGATCCTTTGGCAAGTGTCACAAGCTGCCACAAAAGTTTTCACCTCCTTTTTCAGGCCCGGCCAATTGAAATTGTTGGTTAAACGTTTATAAGTACGTAAAAACCCAGAATGGCCAGCTGCGGGTGAAGCATGAAATTCATGGAGAAGACGAGTCCGCCATGCAGAGGACGCCGGAACAAAAATACCAGTTTTGTAGTAAAGGAGATCTCCTTGGAGTGTGAAAGGAGCCCGACTTGCAGGAGCTTCCCTTAAAGCCGTGAGAAGTGCAGAAGTGTGAGAGTCCGACTCGTAAGCCGCATGAATTTCTGCAATACAATCGAAAAGGGGCTGAGAAAGACCCATTAAGGTAAGCATCTCTGAACGGCGGGACAGAGCATCGGCTGCGGCATTCAAAGTGCCGGGTCTATATTCCAGAGTATAGTTATACCCAAGCAACTTAAGCAACCATTTTTGTTGAGCCGGAGTAGTGATTCTCTGGTCAAGAAAGTATTTTAGAGTCTGGTGGTCCGTAAGGATCTTGAATGGGTGGCCAATCAAATAGGGCCGCCATTTTTGAACTGCAAACACCACTGCCAGCATTTCTTTATCATACACAGAAAGTGCCTGATGTTTGGGTGCCAATGGCTTGCTAAGAAACTCAATAGGGTGGTGGTCCTGTGATAACACCGCACCAATACCGTGATTGGAAGCATCACACTCAATAGTAAATGGTTTGGTGAAATCCAGAAGAGCCAAAACTGGTGTGGTCGACATCGCCATTTTGAGGGCAGAAAAGGCGTTGTCGGCTGCAGGGGACCATTGAAAGTTGTCTTTACGGAGTAAGTCAGTAAGAGGTCGAGCAATAATCCCAAAATTACGAACAAACTTGCGGTAATAGCCTGCGAGTCCCAAAAACCCCCGAAGGGTACGAATGGTGGAGGGAGGCGGCCAATCAGCAATGGCCGAGATTTTAGTAGAGTCCACTGACACTCCATCTGCTGAGATGATGTGCCCCAAATATGCAATCGAACGTTGGCCAAAAAGACATTTGGAAGACCTCAATTTCAACTGATGGTGGCGTAAAATCTGAAACACCGTCGTTAAATGAGTCACATGTTGGTCCGCCGAAGTACTAAACACCAAAATATCGTCGAAAAAGACGACGACAGATTTACGCAACAGTGGCTTGAATATAGAATTCATCAAAGCTTGAAAGGTGGCGGGCGCATTGGTAAGGCCGAAAGGCATGACAGTGAACTCATAGTGGCCTTCGTGTGTCCGGAAGGCAGTTTTGGGAATATCGGCCTCGTGTATTCGTATCTGATGATAGCCCGAATGCAAGTCTAATTTAGAAAATATGACAGCACCTTTTAATTCGGCTAATAATTCATCAATAATGGGAACTGGGAAACGGTCTTTAATGGTGACGGAATTCAGGGCCCGATAGTCGACACAAAAGCGCCAAGAGTCCGCCTCTTTTGCAACTAACAGTGCCGGCGACGAGAAGGGACTGAGACTAGGTTGTATGATACCAGCCGATAACATTTCGACAACTTGCCGTTCGAGTTCCGCTTTCTGGGCATGACCATAACGGTAAGGCTTCACATTGACAGGACCTGTGCCTGGAAGCAAAACAATACGATGATCAATAGCCCGATGGGGTGGTAGGGTGGTCGGCGGAAGGAAAATGTCATCATACTGAAACAGTAGGGCTTGAATAATAGCTGGTGCAGAGGTTGCCATAGAGATGGATGAACTGAGACTAGAGATCTGATGAAGCACATTAACCGAAGCATCAAGAGAAGAGTTCCCCTGCCGAGATATTGCTAACAATGTGGAAGGAATAATGGAAGTGCCCACCAATCGATAATTTGTTCCATCCACTGAGAATTCCATGATCTTGAGAAGAAAGTTCCATCCAACAAAGCCCAATGTCTCTAACCAGTCGAGACCAAGCACCATGTCACAACCCATGACGGCAAGGAGGTGAAAATTGTTCTTGAATGCATAACCTTGTAACCACACTGGAACATTGGAAGCCAAGCCTTTGGTACGAAAATAGCGCCCTGTTGCAACCATGACAGGCTTACTGTGCGAGGAATCAATGGCCAAACCCAAACGGGTTGCCACTTGAGGGTTGATGAAACTTTGGTCAGCTCCCGAATCAATAAAGACGTGAACCGGGGTATTTAGTATGAACCCTTCCAGTCGCATAGCTTTGCCGCGAGAGCGCTTAGAGGCAGAAATAGCATGGAGAGCAATAGGGTGCTCAGGTTGTTCAACCAAATTCGGAGCGGGGGCAACAGGTTCATCGAACACCGGCGACGGATCGAGAACTTCATCCTCAGCAAGAAGCATAAGAATATGGGATTGGCGACAACGATGACCTGGTCTATATTGATCATCACAATTAAATCAAAGACCCTGTTCGCGACGTGCCCGCATTTCCATCTGAGTAAGGCGAAGTACAGGCTTAGTAGGGGTTGAGGCAGGTGTGGGTTGAGAAGGCCGAGACAGGGAAGGTGTCATGGTGTGGGGGGCAGAAGGTAACGGAACCTGTTTAGAAGAGGTGTTAGGCGAACGGGAAAAACCCGGTCGCAAGGATGACCGCTGGCCCTGTTTGGTCTCGTAAATGCGAGCTAGCTCAATCGCACTGGCGAGAGACGACGGCCTTTGGGCCACCACATCATCTTGTAGTTCCTCTTTGAGACCCCCTAAAAATGCTCCTAAAAGCTGAGCATCGGACCAATCCGGAGTTCGACATGAAAGTCTAATAAAATGACCCACATACTGTTCAACCGATCCAGTTTGGGATATATGAGAAAGGGCCATGTGAAAATTCAAAGAATCTGTAGGCCCAAAACGTTGCAGCAACTGAGTGGTGAAAGTTGCCCATGAAGACAGGGGAAAACGCATTTTGAACCACCTCAGCCAATGGGCAGCATCCCCACCGAGGGGTAGACCAGCGACTGTGGCACGGCAGCAGCCCTCAATCTCATGATAATCGAGAAATTCATCAGCCATTGCAATCCAACCATATGGATCATCC